AGCTGCCTTCCCTCTAGTCTTACACTGCTAAATTTGGGACTGCTAGCGCAGATAGCCCTCGTGTAGCTTTGCGCGAAATTCCAAAACAAACAAACAAACAATCTTAAGTCTCTCATTATAAATTTAATGGAGTCTTGTAAATAAAGTGTTAAATAAAGGATTCCAGAAAATTTCAAGAAAATATAATCACTGACACTGGAATTTCTCCTTTATACCACAGCATACAAAGAACTATTCTATCATGTTCGCTTTACTTCCCATTAGATGAATATTTTTTAAATATGCTGCGGCTTTTCTCGCACTAAAGTATTGAAGCTTTTTTCTTCTTCTCTATTTTACTCTATTTTATTTGTTTTAATAACATCAGTTTATTTACTGTGTGTGTGTTGGAAGATTACCTGATGGTCAATAACTTAGAATAAGATTTTACGAAAACGCACACTCGGGGAAGGGGTAAATAAGCCGAAATAAATGTAAGCTAAGACTACTTCAGCGGTTATGTTTCGTTTAGTTTTTTCTTCTATTTACGGTTTCCAATTAAATACTTGAAATTCTTCCTTACAGCAGTTCTAGTTGAGGTTCCTTATATATATTATGAAAGGTTATTTGAAAGTTATGTGTATATAATGCAAGGAAAAATATATATCGTGTTTTACTTTTGACCCTTGTTGTGTACTTGAGAACGAGTCATTATGTAGTAATCACAGAGCGAACAAGACTTCTGGTTGCAGACAAACGTTACCCACACAAGACCGTATTTGTAGCTAAGAGCAAGTATTGTGCTATAATTATTTGAAGGCAATACTTAGTTTTGATTGGAGTTTTGATACCAAGTTTTAGTAACGGTTTATATTAATGCGCGTTTGCAATGTTATACACCAATTAACATTAAGACTGATAATTTCCAAATAAATTACACACACACACACACACACACAAAAAAACGGGTTCTTTCTGTCCCTAAAGAAGAAAGGTCCATTTTTCCGAAAGCGCTTACAGTTATCGGGTTTCTTATTTTCTGATAGAAGGAAGAAGGATGTTTCTTTCTTTTCCGAAAACGCTCGGGTTATCGGGTTTCCTATTTTCTGATAGAAAGACGAAGGTCTACCTGGCGAAAGCACCTTGTGGTATAAACGTAGCAAC